CGAGGTTCCCCAGTGTCACAATGGTCCCTTTGACTCCAGAAGGCCTTGCAGAATCACAATGGCCCCTGGATTCTGGGAGGTTCCACAAGGTCACAATGGATCCTTGATTCCTTTAGATTCCGCAATGTCCCATTGGTTCCCTTTGGTTCCAAAAGGTTCTGTGATGCCACAATGGCCCCTTGATTCCCTGACGTTCCACAAAGTCCCGGGGTCCTTTTGATTCCATGAGGTTCCGCAGTGTCCCATGTTCCCTTTGGTTCCAGGAGGCCCCAGTGTATTCCAATGGCCCCTGGATTCCATGAGATTCCACAGTGTCCTGGGGTTCCCTTGTCTCCCTGAGTTTTGGCAGTGTCCTGGGGTCCCTTTGTTCCCAGGAAGTTCCTCTGTTTCCATCAGGCCCTGCCACGTCTCAGACTCCCTTTGGTTCCATGAGGTGCTGCAGGGTCACAATGTCCCCTTTATTCCGTGAGGTTCTGCCATGTCCCAGGGTTCCTTTGGTTCCATGGGATTCCACATTGCCAAAACTCCCTGCTTCTTATCCTTCCAAAATTTGTGGGCCCATTCTATCCCTGCCTGGGATGGAGCACCATTGTGTTTCTGCAGGAATGGATCCATGGCCATCCTGCCACTGCGCCAACTGAATGCTGCAGAAACGTCACTGCAGGCCCAACACTGGATGCAGGAACAGTCTGGGAACTACAGGCCTGCTCACATTCAGCAGAGCCAGTCGGGGTCACAAAGAGCACAAGGGATTGACTGCAACCCCTGCAGTTCTCTGGCATTGCTGGGGACAAATGCATGAACTCCCAGGAGCTCTGCAGAGCCCTGACAGTGCCACTGCAATCCCAAGCTGCATTGCCCGGGTCAACACTCAGCACAGCCAAGGCCACAACCCTTCCTGAAAGGTGTCCCTTCTGGGGAGGGCCAGGGGCACAAACCCCTCCCTCTGTCCCTGCAGATGTGTCCAATTCTCATCCCCCACTTAGGGACAAAGTCAGCCTACATTGTGTGTTTAGCTTTGCATTTGCTTCACTCTTTTGTGCTTCCAACACACACACACCCCAGTCTGGGCAGACTCTGGCCCCCCAAAGAACACCAGACCGGACTATTTGTGGCTCCTGCTGCAGTGGCTGGAACTTGGGACACAATCTGTGCCAGGAGCAGAGAGGTCCCTCCCCACAGAAACTTCTTGGCAATGCAGTTCTTAAGAAAACGGGACAGGCTGTGGGGATCACTTGCAGGGCACAGCCAGGGACGTATCTTGACCAGCCTCCTGTTTAACATGACCAACTTTTTCAGCCTCTTTGCTCTCTGTTTTCTCATGCTTGTTCCTCCAGAAACCACTGGGATCCTGCCCTTGCTTTGTTTCTTTCCTAGACATCCCAGGACAAGTCTTGCCCGGTCCCCAAATCCCCTTTCTGGCTGCCCATCATGAGTCTCAGAGCCCGAGGCAAAATCCCCCATCCTCAGCTGCAAGGTCACCCTGAGATATTCTGCCACTGACTCACTTGCTTCAAGTTTCATACAGATACCTTGGAACTTCCTTGGAATTAATTTATTACCTTTTGGGATTAGAAGGGTTTCTCCAAAAACATGGCAATTCATGTCCTCAAAAATGGAAATTCTTTGGAGAAGTAGTTTGAGACTTTAGACTCAAAAGAATTCCAGAATGATTTGGCTTGGAACGGAGCTAAAAGCTCATATGGTACAAGTTCCTGGACGTGGGCAGTGACATCTTTTACTAATTGAGGTTACTCAGACTTCCTGTCCTTGGACAAATGCAGGGATGGGACATCCACTTCTCTGGAAACCTCTTCCAGTTCTTGCCACCCTGATTGTTAAATATTTCCTCCTATTATCCAATATAAAACTCTTTCAATTCAAAGCCACTGCTCCATGTTCTGTCACTACAGGCCTTGGTAAAAAGTATCCCTGTTATTTCCTTAGACTATGAGCACAACATTTTCATCTGCAAAAACATTAGTGAGTGCCCAGAGATCTCCCCAGATGGGCTTTAAAGGTCTCAAGCACATGACCACTAGAGAGGGGCTAAGGAGCTGTGACCTCAGTGGTGTGGAGACTGAGGACAGTACAGGATAGCCCTAAGAGGGCTTGAAGGGAGGATTTAGAGATGGTGGATCCTTTTGTCATAGCAGAAAAGAGCATGAGAAAGAAAGAATTAATGCCAAGTGCAGCTGGGGAGGCCCTGAGTGGACATGAGGAAAAAGGAATTCCACTCCATGGAAAATGCTGTGCTGCAACACATCACCCAGGAGGAGTCTGGATGAGCCCAAGGCTTTGTGTGTGCAGGAAGAGCCAGGGAGGATGGAGAGATGTCAGTGCAGGAAGGTGCCAGCCAGGTGGGGCAGCTGGGGGGATGAGGACAGCCTGCAGGGAAAGGGGCAGGGCATGGACACCGTAGGACAGCCTGGACTGGAGAGGAGAGAGGGAGGGGGAGAAGCTGAAAGGCCCTGACAGAGCCACCTTCTGCAGGCCTTTGGCCATGGCTGCTGTCTGTGCCCCTGATGCCAGGAGGAGACAAGTGGCCCTTGCAGCCCTGGGGCCTCATGACCTCCTTGTCCCTGCTCAGCAGCCTGGCAGGTGCCACCCCATGGTCCTGCCCTTGGCATTGCACATCCCACATCCCAGTGCCCCAGGAGGAGCCCTGAGGAATGAGACAGGGACAGGGTCTGCCTTCCCAGGGGCTGGGGGTCAGGGCTTGGCTCGTTGGATTAAGGAAACAACTCAATGTTTATTCAGTATTAGAGACACCTTGCCCTTGCTTGTACATCCTTGTCATCACTGTCTGCAGATTTCTGCTCTAACTGGAACCTGGAGACACGTTCTCAATTGTGTCCCTCAGTGAGACTCATTAGCACTACAAGAAACTTCAATGTTTCAATCTCACTTTGACTTCTTGAAAAGTTGTTTGAACCTACTCTCAGGGACTGAGTCTCCTGTAAACAACATCAAAGCCCCCAAGGGTCATGAAATGCCTGGGGCTGTTGCTGTGCTGCTGAACTGGGCCGGGCTCCTGGCCCACAGGGAGCTCCTGGCAAGCAAGAAGAGCTTCAAAGAGACAGCCCTGCCCAGGAGCAGCTCCTCTGCACAGCCCAGCAGGGCTGAGGGCACTGCCAGGGCAGCTCAGGGACACCAGCAGGGCACACACAGAGCTTCCAGGGGCTCAGCACTGGCAGGATGGCTGAGAACTCCCTGCAGGAGGAATCTTGGCAGGGCTGCACATGGTGAATCTGTGGCTGCAGGGCAGTGCAGGGGCAGCTCCTGGAGTCATCTCCTAAAGCTGGCCCAGCCCCAGCTGATGGGATGGGTGAGCAGGGGGCTCTTTTGGGGCAGTTTGGAAGAGCTGTGAAGCCAGGGGTGCAGCCAGTGGTGCCCAGGGCTGTGGGGCAGAGCAGGGTCCTGCAGCCCAGGGCGCTGTGCTGGGCAGGGACTCTGCTGCCTGCCAGGGGCGGCTCTCAGCCGGCCTGGGGAGCTGCTCCCAGGGCTGGGGCACAAGGGCTATGGGCAAGGAGCAACCCCTGTGAGGGCAGGGAAGGGCTCTTCACCTGTTTAGAGTAGGCTGCACGTTGAGGTCTGCCCATAGCTCCAGGTCATTACAGAACATTTCTCAAAGGAGTTTTAAGGAAGCACAGCAAGTCACGGGATACCTGACAACGTAGGATCCTGTTCTTTCCATCTTCAAATATGTGTTTTCTGAGTGAGAAATAGGTCATAAAAATTAATATCACAGTTCAGAGGAGGCACTGAAACTCCAGGTCTATTCCTCTTAGAGGAGAAGAGACCAGGCAGTATCAGAAATCACCACACCTGTGCCTTACATGTAGCTCTGGGTCACTTTTCCAGCCTCCTCAGGGTTGCTCTGATGTTGCCATCAGAGCCTGCACAGACAGAGATTCCCCTGGGCAATGCTGCATTGCTGGGCTGGAACAGAGAAGATTTAACAAAGCTGCCCTTTAAAACAGTGCTGCCCTGCACTCATCAGACTGTAGGTATTTGGGTTTATTAAAAATTAATTTGCATGTGAAGTTATGTTCAGGCAGCACGAGGAAAAGCACAGGGCAGATGGGAACAGAGGGAGGGACACTGCAGCTCTCCTGGCTCTGCACTGAGCTACGGACAGCTGAACTGTTTGTCCTCTCTTGTTTAAAGTCTCGTTATGTTTTGCATCATAAAAATGAGGATTTCTACTCCTAACAAGAACAGGTACCAGATGCAACTATAGAAAATAATAAACACAGACAACATTATTTGAAGGACATGCTAAGCCTTTCCTCTGAAGCACACACTGTTCCATGTCTTGAGAGTGGAGATTGAACTTTTCCCTTAAAGGTGGATGATGCCTGACATCCCTTGGGAGTGTTTGATGCTGTCACAGACCAGCTCCATGTCCCCACTGGAGCAGAGGAAAACTGGCACGTGGCAGCACGTGGGCAGAGTTCCTGTTCCTCACAGCACCCTCAGCCAGCACAAAAAAGGGAAAGGAAAAGCCCTTCAGTTTGGGGGATTTCTATGAGAAATAAAGTGACTTTGCTAGTGGAGTTTGTCTTAACTTCTTCCTGTACTTTCCTGTTTCTGAACAGTGTCCCTGTGCTGGGAAGCAGCAAATGTCCAACAGCAGCTCCCTCACCCAGTTCCTCCTCCTGGCATTGGCAGACAGGCGGGAGCTGCAGCTCCTGCACTTCTGGCTCTTCCTGGGCATCTCTCTGGCTGCCCTCCTGGCCAACGGCCTCATCCTCAGCGCCGTAGCCTGCGACCACCACCTGCACACCCCCATGGGCTTCTTCCTGCTCAACCTCTCCCTCACAGACCTGGGCTGCATCTGCACCACTGTCCCCAAAGCCATGCACAATTCCCTCTGGAACACCACAACCATCTCCTACAAGGGATGTGCTGCACAGGTCTTTTTCTTCCTGTTCTTCATGTCAGCAGCGTTTTCCCTCCCCACCATGATGTGCTACGACCGCTACGTTGCCATCTGCAAACCCCTGCACTACGGGACCCTCCTGGGCAGCAGAGCTTGTGCCCACATGGCAGCAGCTGCTTGGGCCAGTGGGTTTCTCACGGCTCTGTTGCACACAGCCAATACATTTTCCCTGCCCCTGTGCCAGGGCAATGCCCTGGGCCAGTTCTTCTGTGAAATCCCACACATCCTCAAGCTCTCCTGTTCACACTCAGGCTACCTCAGGGAAATTGGGCTTATTGTGGTTGGTGTCTGTTTAGTGTTTGGTTGTTTTGTTTTCACTGTTTTCTTCTATGTGCAGATCTTCAGGGCTGTGCTGAGGATCCCCTCTGAGCAGGGACAGCACAAAGCCTTTTCCACATGCCTCCCTCACCTGGCTGTGGTCTCTCTGTTTCTCAGCACTGCCATGTTTGCCTACCTGAAGCCCCCCTCCATCTCCTCCCCATCCCTGGATCTGGCCCTGTCAGTTCTGTACTTGGTGGTGCCTCCAGCACTGAACCCCCTCATCTACAGCCTGAGGAACCAGGAGCTCAAGGATGCCCTGAGGAAAATGATGACTGGATGCTTTTCAGGAGCAATAAAGTGCTTGTTTTCTGGTGTGTAGCATTCAGAATGGGACTCCTTCATGGCCCAGCCTTCCTGCTCAGGTTTTTCTTGCAAGTCATTGGGTTGTTCTTGCAATAAGCTTCTGTGCAATGAAATATCAATATTCATCTGCCTTCTAATTTAGTGTCTACCCACTGAATTTGACCCAGAGATTTAAAAATGATGAATTGTGCTCTCTGAGTATTTAAACAAAATAAAGGACCCTGCAGTGCCTTCTTTGTCCAAGACTCTTCTTCTCAGATGTTCCCAAAGGACAGCACACTGCAGGACAGGGTGTATTTGCAAACGGGAAGGGGACAATAATCCCAGCCCAGCAACACTGCCAGGGAGCAGCAGTGCTCGGTCTTTGCAGAGCTGCTCTCTTGCCGCTTCCACACTGTCTTCCTGAGCCCCTTTCTCGCTGTAAGACCTGAGTGCTCTCTGAGCACAGTCCTGCTCCAGGACTCCCTGTGACCTTGCTCCAGGGCTGGAACTCACATGCAGTGTCACCATGACACTCCTGCTCTCTGCTTTCCAGGTTTCATTTTCAGATCCAGTCTTCCCCTCCTGTTCACGGGGACATCCTGTGAGTGCTTCAGAGCTGCCATCCTGGGGCAGCTTCTGCCCAGTGTGGGCAGGCACAAGGTCCCTCCACCTGCTCCTCTCACCTCCCCAGGGCCACTGTTTTCTGCAGCCTCCTCATCCTTGCCCAGCACAGCCCTCCTGGCAGAGTTGGACACAGCCCTTGTTCTACACCCTCCTCAGGCACCTGCCCAACCCCCTCAGCTCCAGCCTGATGGCCAGAAACCTTCAGGGCAGGGAGGCACTGGGCAAAATGCTGAGGAAACCTTTCAGCTGCACTCAAATCCAATTGGAGGGGTTGGCCTGGAGGAAGAAATCCCTTCTAATTCTCCAGAACCACCAGGACAACCTGTGTTGTGTCCTGGGCACTCCTCTGGAAGTGTGGGCTATGGAAAAGGTTTTGGTGTCAGGGATATTGAGAAGGCTGGGCAGTGTCACTGGGAGACCTCTCCCAAACCCTTGGAAAGGCCAGAGCCATCCCAGAGCTTCCTGGGGCCTTGGCAAAGGCAGACATGGAACCAGTCTGCAAACAGGGCAGCAAGGAGGGATGAGAGAGTTCCAGACTGCTCAGGCTCAGCAGGGAAGGGGATCTGGCAAGTCCTCCTGCAGCCTTTCCCAGGCATGGGAAGGACAAGGCAGGGATTGCAGAACCCCTGTGGGAGGGAATAGGAGGGGATGTTGTGTGCCCAGACTTTATCAAGGCCCTTGACATGGTGTCCTCTGGTCTCCTTTTAGCCAGACTGAAGAAGTGGAAGATGTGGTGGGTGGGAAGTTGGCTGAATGAAGAGTGTCAAATAAAATCCATGGTACAAAGTCCTCTTGACAGCAACTTCCTGATGAAATCCCTCAGTGACCAACCCTTGAACACCACTAGAGAACATCTTTATTATCTCTCTGTACAATGGGACAAAATGTATTTTCAAGTCCTTTGTGGATGATGCTAAATTTCAGGGAGCCCTTGAGCAACCTGTCCTGGTTTAAAGACACATATTGAGGTGGAAAATCCAATAAAATGAACTCACTCCCCTTTTATTCCCCACCACTACAGGGAGACAAAATAAAAGGAGGTGTAAGTGAAAAAATAACAGTTGACTGACAAGAAATATAGCAGCAAAACCAGCAATACCAACAGAACAGTTCAAAGCAACAGCAGAGAGAGAAATCATATTGTCTGTCTCCCCATCCTGAACGCCCTTTTCTAAACAGATGAAAATTGTGATCAACGCATGCTTCCCTTCCCCTTTTGCATCCAGGGGAATAAAGAACAAAAATAAAACCAGGGGAAAGAGGGGGCAAAGCAAAATCTGGGAAACTCTCTGGTCTGAGCTAAGTTGTGCTGCCCAAGAACACGCTGACTCCAGAGGTGTCCAAGCGCGGCAGAGCCGGTGACTCCAGTCCGTGTGGTGGTGTCACTATGGCCCCTTGGTTCCATGGGGTTCTAAGATGTCTCAGGGTTCCTTTTGTTCCAAACAGGCCCCGCATGTCACAATGGTCCCTTGGTTCCATGAGATTCCACAGTGTCCCTGCATTCCTTTGGTTCCATGAGGCCCTGCAGTGTCACGGTGCCACTTGATTCCGTGACGTTACAAAGAATCAGAATGGCCCCTTGATTTAAGGCCAACTGCACATGGGGCTGACTTAGGGAGAGTTTGGGCACCCAGACAAGGCAGTTGCCACTCCCCTGGACTTAGGTCTGCTGTTGACACATCTGGACTCGTCTATCTGTCTGTGAGGTTTCCTATTCTGGAGGAAGGAGGAAGAACTGGAGAGTGTCTAGAGGAGATCTGACAGGATGGAGCTTTTCTATGTATTGGAAATAGAATGAAATCTCCACAAAGAGTAGCATGGAAGGTTCAGACCGAAGGTGAGGAAAAGGAAATGTCACTCAGTGGGGACCCTTGTGGTGCAAGAGGTCACCCAGAGGGAGTCAGGATCATCCCATGGCTTTGTGTTCCAGGGAACAGCCAGAGTTGGTGCAGAGACATCAGGGAGGGTCTAGAAATGCTGCTGGGAGGGGGGTGGGAAAGCAGGAGGGGTGTGTGCAGCCTGCAAGGCCAGAGCAGCAGCAGGGCCAGGCCAGGACAGCCTGCAGGAGAGATGGCCAAGGGCTCTGGCAGGGCTGCAAGGCCCAAAGGCACCCAGGCCTTTGTCCCCTTGCCTCTGGCAGCTGCCTCTGCCACTCAGGCCACCACAAGCAACTTTCCTTGCAGGTTCTGCACTTGGTTTCTGCCTCACCCCTCCCCCAGGAGCCTGGCAGGGGTTGCCCAGTGTTTGGCCTTTGTTGTTCCTCCTCCTCCCATCCCACTGCCCCCAAACAGCCCTGAGCCAGCCAGGAGGGACAGGATCTGCTGTGCCAGGGCCTGGGGCTCAGGCCTTGGCCTTTCTGCTCCACAAAACCAAGGCAGGCTTTGCTCAGCATTGCAGGGGCCTGCCCAGAGCCTTTGTCTGCCTGCACTCCTGGCCTCCAAGGATCTGCTCCAAGGAGTCCCTGGGGAGGCTTTGTCAGTGCCTGCCCTCAGTGGGGCCCAGCAATGTTTCAAGGGACTTGGAGTTTGGCTTCTGACCTTTTGAGCAGCTTCGTCAATCTTCTCTCAGTACCTCAGGATCATGGGCTGGGCTGCAAACACACCGTGGGTCTCATTAAAATGCAGAAATCCCTCAGGATCTCTTTGTCTTCCTTTAATTGTCTTCAAGGCAATTTCAAAACAAGTCTTCAAAATTTGTACTTTTTTTTTTTTAATTCAATGATGGCTATTTTTTAGTTCAGAGGAGAGGTGATAGAGGTGTTCTCCAAGTGATCTTGATGCTGAGTGTCTCCTCAGGAGATCCAGACTGACCCTGGATGATCAACCTTGCTCCTCACCCCCCAACCTCACCAGTTCTGACATGGCCCATCTTGGACTGACAGCTGATGCAGCTCCAAACACACCATGGGATCCATTAAAACACTGAAAAACAAATTATTTCCCTTCCTTTAATTGTCTTAAAGTCTTCAAGACTTCTACAGCTATCAAGACTTCTACAGCTAATTGGAGTTGTTTTGTAGTTTAGTTAAGGAGGAAGATTTTAAAGTGGAAGTCATGAAAAACTTATATATTTTTTGATGAAAAGGAATTATTTACACAGAGCCTTCAGATGCAAGAGGGTCAGGACATGAAAAATTTGGATCCAAAGACAAGGGAGTAGAAGACATTAGTAGCACTTAATCATTGACCAATTGAACAATTATCAACTGGTTCAATAGCATTTGCTACAATTTTAACAGTGACTGAATTATGGCTTCACAACAACAACATTCCCACCACAGTCAATTCACACCCACACCCAGGCAGAGATGTGTGGACACATCAGTAGCTGGGTGTGGAAAGTTCCCTCTCCAAAATTCTCCTTGTGTTCAGGGAAACACTCCCCCAAATCCCTTTGTGTTTCCAACAGACAAGGGTCACAGCTGGAGGAGTGTTTGTTGAGGGGGATCAGAATTGTCCTGGGCCTCAGCGACGGTCTTTGGAGTGTTGCAAACTGGAGGGTTCCCGAGCTGCGAGAGGCTGCCAGAGGTGTCCCACTGAGAGGGAGGTGCTGGGGAGCTGCCAGGACCTTCCTCAGCCCACTGGTTATGGACTCCCAAGGTGACTGGCTTTAGTTATCTGCTGAATGTCCATCCTGGTGTCAGGAATGACTGGAGTTTCCAAAATATTTGGGAACTGTGTCCAAACTGTTCCATTTGGGCTGTGATTCAGGCAGGGAATGTTCCAAGGTTTTCATGGGATGACTGATTATCCTGTGTTTCTCAACTGTTCCACTCTGGATTGTTCCCACCTGTATCGTCCAGGAGCACCCGGTCCAGTCCAGGGACACTTCCCCACACCCCTGGTCCAGTCCAGGGACACTTCACCACACCTCTGGTCCAGTCCAGGGGCTCTTCATTGCTCAGCTGGTTTGGTCAAGGCTTGTCAGGAGCTCCTGAGATCATACTTATAAGAAGGATGGGCACAGCTTTAGATGTAATAAGACAAGTCATAATGGTTTTCAACTAAAAAAGAGCAGATTTGAACTAGTTATAAGTAAGAAATTTTTTGCACTGAAGGTGGTGAAACACTGGCACCAGTTGCCCAGAGAGGTCATAGATGCCCCACCCTTGGAAACATTCAAGGCCAGGTTAGAAAGGCTGTGAGAACCCTGACCTAGTTGAAGGTGTCCCTGTTCATTGTGGGGGGGTTGGACTAGTTGACCTATAAAGGTCCCATCTGACTCCAACTATTTAGGATTCTATAGTTCTTTCCTACAGAGCCAAGGCTGACAAGGATCACCCAGGTTTCAGACCCAGTTGAGCATCCCCTTTGATGGCCCATCTGGCAACTCTGCTAAAAAACTGCTGCAAAGAACCTCCAGATCTAAAGGAGCTTTTGTGCTGGGCTGAGCTGTGGCTCTCAGGGCTGGGGGGTTGGCTTTTGGCTGCCAGGTGCCCACCAAGGCTCTCTCACTCCTCCTCCTTCTCCACTCCTGGAGGAGTTGTTTCTGCAGGGTTGTTTCTCCCCCATTTCTCTCACTCCTCTCTGGGTTCCAGCACCCTGGATTTTATCCTTTCTCCAAAGGGTTATCACAGAGGTGCCTCTGGAATTGCTTTTTGGCTCAGCTTTGGGCACTGGCTGGTCCATTTTGGAGTCACCTGAAACTGGCTTTGTCTGACACAGAGTCAACTCTTGATCTCTTCTTCCCTAAAGGAAACCTGCAGCCCCCTCACTGCTATCAAACCTGATGCACAGGGTCATTAAAGTGCCCAGGAATACAGGAGGTCACTGAGCCCATTTATTCCTCAGGCTGGTTAAACAAGACTTTGTCCTCTTCCTGTCCCTGACTCCAGGTTCTTTCTGTCAGAGCAGAGCTGGGCTGGACCTCAGCCGTGCTTTGCTCCAGAGCCTGCTGGTGTGGGGGCAGATGACAATGGCAGAGGGACTGAGGTGCCCCAAGGAGAGCAAACCCTGCTGTCCCCAGGGCCAGAGAGACACAGGGCTGGGCTGGGCAGCCTGGCAGAACAGGGCTTTGCTGCCTGGGGGATCTCTGCCACTGTGAAGGGCCTGGAGGCTTCAGGTGACTCTGATCTGCAGGAAGGACAAGGTGCTGATGGAAATGTCCTGGGCTTTGGACATCCTGTGATCCAGGAACACTGTGAAAATCACTGGTCTGTTCCTTGGCTGCAGCATCAAAGGGATGACTAAGGGTTATCAAGCATTGGAACAGAATGTCCAGGGAAGTGGTTGAGTCACCACAGAATCATAGAATTCTTAAGGTTGGAAAAGACCTCTGAGATCATGGAGTGCAACCATTAACCCAACACTGGCATCTTCACCACTAAACCATGTCCTCAAGTGCCACAGCTCAATGTTTTTTGAACACTTCCAGGGATGGTGACTTTAAGACCCCAGGTTTGGCCTACGAGCTCAGCAAAGGAGTTTTACTTTGAAAAATAGAAAAGGCACCAAAAATTTCTGCCCTCCAGATATTTGAAAAGGGCCTTCGGTTCTTTTAATACCTTGAGAGAGACCACAAGGGAGAAGACACTGCACATGTTTTCTGAGGAGGTCAAAAACCACACTTTTACTGGCAAACTTTAGAAAATAAGGGAGCTTGGCAGAAGGTTATAAGGCAACATTCAAGGAGAAGAGAGCATTCAAAAGCATTGACTAATCACAAGCCAACCAATCCAAGTCAGCTGGATGGTTTATTGACAATGTGTCCCGACGGGCGGGACCTCCGATGCCATAGAAACCCCTCCTCCTGGATTAGGAAACATTTGGAATTGATGAGGTGTTCCAGTGGAGCATGAAAATGAACAGCAATTTTCCTAAAGCAAAGAACCAAGCAGAACAAAGCAAGGCCCCAGCAGTCGCAGAGCAAAGGTCCCCCCATCCCTCTGTCCCCTGTGGCCGCTGAGGCGGCAGCGCAGGCCCGAGGCGGTGCCGGGTCCCGGTGCAGCCGGGGCAGAGCGGCGACTGCGCGAGCGGCAACCCCGGCGGTGAGTGCGGCAGCCCCGTGGGAGCGGTGGCTCCGGGCACAGACGCCGGCGGGAGCCGCTGTGGCGGCGGAGCAGCGACTCCGAGGCGCTGCAGGAGCGCTGGCTCCGCTTCCAGGCGCCGGCAGTGTTGGGAAGCCGGTGCCGGGCGGCTGCGGGGCAGCGCAGGCCAAAAGCGGCAGCGGCGGCAGCCTCGTGGCAGCGGCGGCTCCGGGCAGACACGGCCCCGCTCTGCTCTGACAATACCTAAAAAATGGTCAGAGAATGCAAACAATGCACACTCTCTGTGGTGAGTTACTACTGGTGTCAAGGTGCTGTTTTTAATGTTGAATTCTGCTAAACCCAAAATGCTTCATGAAACTTCAAACACACATCCTGCTTTTTGGATTTGACAGATAAGCTGCTCCCTGGCCTTTAAACACGTCTGGCAGTCAAACCCTTGATAACTATAAAAGCCCCATCCAACTTTCATGTGGCAGATTCTTCCACAGATTTCCTTGAAGTGTGTGGAGCTTCTGCCATGAAGCAGGGACAACTCCTCATGGTCACTCCCCAGGGGTTAAGTGAAAGAGAGAGAACTACTCCCTTTGGTTGTGGGGTGAGTTACCTCAATCTCTGCTTCAGGATTGTTTCTTTTTGCTGGCTTTGATCCAATTGCTTTAATAGAATGACTTTGATAGACTGCACTGTCCTATCTTACACTATACTGCTGGGAGTTTTTTGCTTTTATACTGTGGAGGAAATAATTCTCTTTAAGGTCTTTCATCTGTTCACTTCTCTGATCAATTGTCTGTTCATTTGTCACAGTGAATAATTCATTTTATAGAAATATTTCTGATTTGCCATCACTAAAACCTGCAAGACAAAGTGATTGAATCACACCTCCATAATTCCTTCAATTGAAACCAAAATCTGAGCCTGAGATTGGATCCAGCCACAGCCAGGCTCCTCTCTGAGAAGGACTTTAGAAAGCAAAGTGGTCCTTTGTGCACCTTGTAGCTCAACGAGACGGCTTCTGCCATCAACTTTGTCTAAGCCTTCCACCCACCCAGCCCCAAGCCATGACACATGGGCATGTCTTGTCCATGCAGTGCAAACATGGACTCCTGAACTGGTCATTGGATGTCCCTCCTTGGAGGGAAGAACAAGCCCAATGGCCTGGGGTGAGAGGCCAGTGCTGGGAGCGGCGCTGGCTGTGCAAGGGCACTGCTGGGTGCCCCCACCCTGAGCACTCCCACCCTTGTGCTGGTCACTGCTGTTTTCCTCTGCAGGGTGTTTGTTGGGCACATCCTGGAGAGCAAACTGGAAAGCAGATGGAAGCTTTCAGGCCCTGGCCTGAGGAGATGCCCCTGCAGGATGGCAGTGCTGCTGCAGAGGTCAACTCTGTGCCAGCAGTGCCCGTGGCTGTCCCTGCCTGCAGTCCCTGGACAGTCCTGCAGCAGGACTGGGACCGACTGCCAGAGCACTGAGGCCTCCAACAACACAGGGCTCTGAGGGGCAGTGTGGAAGGGAAGGGAGAGGAGGCCACGCAGGAGAAGGGCTGCTGCTCCCTGGCAGTGCTGCTCTGCTGGGACTCTTTTCTGGCCCAGCTCTGCACAGAGGCACCGACCCTGCAGCTGCAGAGAAGTCAGAGAGGAAAGGTGTCTGGCAAACAAGTCAATGCAGAGTTCTTTATTTGGTTTAAGCACACAGTGACTACAACTGCCAATTTGCACAGCCTCTGGGCCAGGCTGGAAAGGCAAACAGTGAATTGAAAATGGTGTTTATATATATAAATATATATATAAATCTATATATATATATCTTCATATATGTCTTTATATAGATAAAGATTTTTTGGTGTGAACAAATTCTCAGAAAAATAACACCCCTACCAGAAGCAAAAAATAGAGAAGCTATGGTGGGCCTTTACTGAAGTCCATAACAGAATTGGCCTTTAATGAGGTATATAATATGCAGAAGAAAGAGTTAATTGCTTGTGAAAAACACTCTCTTATCAGTTTCCTCAGGACATCCTTGAACTCCTGGTTCCTCAGGCTGTAGATGAGGGGGTTCAGTGCTGGAGACACCACTGAGTACAGAACTGACGCAATAAGATCTAGGGGTGGGGAGGAGATGGAGAGGGGCTTCAGGTAGGCAAAGAATGAGGTACTGACAAACAGGGAGAGCACGGCCAGGTGAGGGAGGCACGTGGAAAAGGCTTTGTGCCGTCCCTGCTCAGAGGGGATCCTCAGCACAGCCCTGAAGATCTGCACATAGGAGAAAACAATGAAAACAAAACAACCAAATATTAAACAGGCACTAAGGACAGTGAGCCCAAGTTCCGTGAGGTAGCCTGAGTGTGAGCAGGAGAGCTTGAGGATGTGTGGGATTTCACAGAAGAACTGGCCCAGGGCATTGCCCTGGCACAGGGGCAGGGAAAATGTACTGGCTGTGTACAGCAGAGAATAGAGAAAGCCAGTGGCCCAGGCAGCTGCTGCCATGTGGGCACAAGCTCTGCAGCCCAGGAGGGTCCCGTAGTGCAGGGGTTTGCAGATGGCAACGTAGCGGTCGTAGCACATCATGGTGGGGAGGGAAAACGCTGCTGACATGAAGAACAGGAAGAAAAAGACCTGTGCAGCACATCCCTTGTAGGAGATGGTTGTGGTGTTCCAGAGGGAATTGTGCATGGCTTTGGGGACAGTGGTGCAGATGCAGCCCAGGTCTGTGAGGGAGAGGTTGAGCAGGAAGAAGCCCACATGGGGTTGTGCAGGTGGTGGTCGCAGGCTACGGCGCTGAGGATGAGGCCGTTGGCCAGGAGGGCAGCCAGGCAGATGCCCAGAAAGAGCCAGAAGTGCAGGAGCTGCAGCTCCCGCCTGTCTGCCAATGCCAGGAGGAGGAACTGGGTGAGGGAGCTGCTGCTGGACATTTGCTGTTCCTTAGAACAGGGTCTGTTCAGAAAAGGAAAGCACAGGGAACAATTATGACAGCCCCCTCTCAGCAAAGGCAGGGCACTTTTCAGGGAAATCCCCTCCAAGTCAAGGCATTTCTTTTCTCTGGTTTGTGCTCTCTGAGGGTGCTGTGAGGAGCAGGAGCTCTGCCCATGTGCTGCCAAGGACTCAGCTTTGCTCTGCTGCAGTGCAGACATGGAGCTGGTTTGGGACAGCTCTCATGATCACAGGGGATGTCACATGGAACCCAGCTTTGATGGAAATGTTCAATTCCTGTACTGTTGTTTTGGAGCAATTTGGGCTGCAGGAGAGAGGCACAGTGTATCTTCACAATAATTTTGACTGGGTTTTCTGGTTACAATCATAACACCTGGTGAGTGTTTTCTTAGGGTCAAATTTTTCTGATGACAAATCTGCAGAGTGTTGAGACAGGACAGGCAGAAGGGCTGAGCTCTCCGTTGCTTATTGCAGAGCCAGGAGAGCTGCAGTGGCTCTCAGTCTGTTTCCCATCTGCCCTGCACTTTCCTTTGTGCTGCCTTGAAGATGACTTCACACACAGATTCATCTTTAAAAACCCCACCAAGATCTGTACTGAGAGCAGGGCAGCGCTGCTTGAAAGGGCAGCTCTGTGAAGTGTCCCCTGTGCCAGCCCAGAGGTGCAGCTGTGCTGGACAGAGCAGGACAGGAGCCCTCCCACAGAGAAGCCCCAAGGACTGGGACAGGAGAGTGCCCATCCCCAAGGGAAGGCTCAGCCCTGCCCAGGATCCTGTGCTCATTTCTGATCCTGCCTGAAATATTCATCTCTGAGAGGAAAAGAGCTGGAATTTCAGTGCAGCCTCCTGAACTGAGAGAACAATGTCTGTGCTACAATGCCTAAGCAGGAAACACACCTCAGGACTCATTCCTTTCCTGTAGCCCCTGTGTCTTTTGTGAGCTTTGCAAGAAAGTCTCCATTCAATATGGTGTAGTGGTGTGGAGCTGTGAGCAGGTCTGAACCTGCAACAGCGAGACATGGAAAAGATCCTCCCTCAGCTGCCAGGTTTGCTCCTCGCCCAGAGCCCTTGTGCCCCAGCCCTGGAAGCAGCTCCCCGGGCCGGCTGAGAGCTGCCCCTGGCAGGCAGCAGAGTCCCTGCCCAGCACAGCGCCCTGGGCTGCAGGACCCTGTTCTGCCCCACAGCCCTGGGCACCCCTGGCTGCACCCCCGGCTTCACAGCTCTTCCAAAGGGCCCCAAAACAGCCCCTGCTCACCCATCCCATCAGCCGGGGCTGGGCCAGCTTTAGGAGATGACTCCAGGAGCTGCTCCTGCACTGCCCTGCAGCCACAGACTCACCGTGTGCAGCCCTGCCAAGATTCCTCCTGCAGGGAGCTCTCAGCCCTCCTGCCAGTGCTGAGCCCCTGGAAGCTCTGTGTGTGCCCTGCTGGTGTCCCTGAGCTGCCCTGGGAGTGCCCTCAGCCCTGCTGGGCTGTGCAGAGGAGCTGCTCACCAGCAGAGCTGTCTCTTTGAAGCTCTTCTTGCTTGCCAGGAGCTCCCTGTGTGCCCGGAGCCTGGCCCAGCTCAGCAGCACAGCAACAGCCCCAGGCATTTCATGACCCTCGGGGGGGGGGTTGGTGTTGAGTCCCTGAACATCAGGCTTTGAGAGTTCTGATGCACTGACACAATTTGCCATCATCAGTTGGCATGGTAATGGTCACATGGGCCCATTTTAGGGTTTGTTGCCATGACAACCTGCACTGAGACTATTGTTATGGACAGTGCCATGGCAACCATTTTAGGGTCCCATTTCTATAGTTTGTTACCATAGCAACAATGGTAAGGACCCCTTCCAGGTTTGGTGCCATGGCAAGCAACACCTGGACCAGCTGTGATGGTTGATTGCCATGGAAACCTGCACTAGGGACCCTTGCTAAGGGCGGGTGTCACTGCAAAGAGTCACAGGGGATCCATTGCTATGGGCTTGTGCCATGGCAACCTGCACTGGGATGCATTGGCTGGTCAGGTGCCGTGGGAACCATCAGCAACACCCTCTGCCAGGGTCAGGTGCCATGGCAGCCAGACAAAAAGATTCATTGCTAGGGACTGTTTCCATGGCAACCACCACTGGGACAAGACACCTGGGTCTCCTCTCATGACAATTACCATGAAAACCCATTGCTGGGCAGTGATGCCATGGACACTTGCACTGGGACACTGCTGGAGTTGGCTGCCATGGCAACCACCATGAGGCCGTGTTGATAAGCAGGATGCCATGGCAACCATCATATAGATCTGTTGCTGCTGTTCAGTGCCCAACAACCTGCATGAGACACTGCTCAGGTCGGGTTCATGGCAAACACCCTTTGACCCGCTGTGATAGGGGGTTGTCACGGCCACTGCACCAGGGCCGTTGCTGGGGAGTGTTGCCATGGACACGTGCACTGAGACCTGTCACCAGAGTTGGCTCCATGGCAACCATCACAGGGTCCTGTGGCTGGGGTTGGTGCATGGAAACGAACCTGGGGACCCGTGGGGATTGTGGATGGACATCGTGGGCTGCTTTGGGCTGGGGCAGAGGTAATTTCCTTCCCGGGGGCTTCTCTGGGGCTCTGCTTTGGATTTGTGGATAATTCAGGGATCGTTTTGTTATTGCTGGGCAGCACTTGCACAGCTCCAAGGCCTTTCCTGCCCCTGGTACGACCACGCTGGGGAGGGAGCTGGGGGTGTGTGGGAGGGTGGGAGAAGACACACCTGGGGCAGGTGACCTCCCTGACCCAAGGGCTGCTCCAGACCATGTGACATCACACTCAGTGTGTGTAGGGGGAACTTTGGAGTGATGGTGTTTGTCTGCCCAGGTCACCATTACTGGGGATGGGGCCCCGCTCTCCTGGAGGTGCTGAACACCTGCCTGTCCATGGGAAGCTGGGAATGAATTCCCGGTTTGGCCTTACACGTGTGCACGTCTTCGACTCGACCCAGGAGCTTGGTTACTTCTACCCTTCTGATTCTCTCCCCCATCCCACTGGTGGGGAGGGAGTGAGCGACTGTGCTGTGCTGAGTTTCTGGCTGACATTGCTAAACCTTGACAGATGGAAACTCCACAGGTCTCTGGGACCCTATTCTAGTGCTGAACCGTCCCCTTGGTGGGTTTTTAATAATTATAAATTTTTTTATTCTGTATGCCAAGTTACTCAAGCCTTACAGAACTCAGTGTAAGATTTCCTAGCAGGGCAAGGTACCCTTCATATTCTTTAGCTTTTTAAGCTGATTCCACACAGGGACGCTGTCCACAGGCCATGAGGCCTAGCAAGGGATTTCTCAAACCCAAAGGGAGTCACCTCTCATGGGTTGTGTCACCTCTGGGGCTCACTGATGACTGACCATGATTGCACTGTTTCCCCTTAACATTACATTGGTCAGACCTAACTGGAAGGAGCTCTTGGCACTGAACTCTTTTGGGGCACTGAAGGTGCTCTGGAGGACAAAGATGTCATGGCAGGGCAGGACATAACAGGAATGCCTCAGGACACCTTTCCCCTCCCAGACGAGGAGGAAGCCAGGCTGGACACATGGTTTTGTTGGAGCTAATATGGGATGCTTTGTTCAGGCAACCACATACCCCAGTGGGACTTGTAGCATTTGGGACCATTTTACACCCTCTGTAGGATCACTTTGTCCATAGGAGTCTCTTCAAGGCCATTCTCACTTCCTTATTCTTCAGGCTATAGATGAGAGGGTTAAACATGGGAGTCACAATTGTGCAAAACAGGGCAGAGTATTTGTCAGGATCTCCAGAATCCCTCGAGTGTCCCTTTAAGTAGATGACTGTGGCTGAGCCATAGAAGAGTGTCAGCACCCCAGGGTGTGGGGAGCAGGTGGAAAAGGCTTTGTGCCTGCCCAGAGCTAAGGGGATTTTCAGAATTGCCCTGATAATTTCAATGTAAGACAGAACTATCAAGCAGAAGAGAAGGATTACAAAAACCAGAGTGATGGTGTGCAGCCCCACTTGGTTCCAGAACGTCTGCAGAGGCCAGGTCCAGCAGCGGGGGCACGTCCCAGAAGAAGTGAGGAAGGTCACGGGATGCACAGAAGGGCAAAGTGAACAGCTGGTAGGTCTGTCCTACCTGCACTGGTGCCACAGCCCCCCAGGAGCCCAGCAGCAGCCTGGTGCAGAGCCCCCTGCTCATGGCCAGGGGACAGGGCAGGGGGTGGCACACGGCCAGGTAGCGCTCATAGGCCGTGGCAGCCAGGAGAAGGCTTTGGGTGCTGCCCAGCAGAACCAGGAAATACAGCTGGGCAGCACAGCCAAGGAAGGGGATCCTGCCATCTGCCCTCAGGAGACACAGCAGCATTTTTGGCAGAGTGATGGAAGTGTAGCAGACCTGCAGGAAGGACAAGTTCCTCGGGAAGAAGTCCATGGGGCTGTGCAGGCTGGAGTCCAGCACAGTGAGGAGGGCAACCAGGCTGTTCCCTGCCAGCACCACCAGGTAGATGAGCAGGAACACCGGGAAGCACAGGCCCTGCAGGCTGCAGTGTCTGCCCCTTGCAGTACAGTCTGGCTTACATTCCTTGTCCAGATCTTGAAGAGATGCATTTAATGTAAGAACATTGAGAAGAAACAGGGTGAAAAAGGAGGAAAGTGATGAAAACGGGGAAGCAAGGCAAGGCAAGGCAAAGGAAGGAGAGGCAATCCAAACAAAGCAGGGCAAGGCATGGCTCAGTTCTTAGACCTTGGTGAGAGAGATTAATCCCAGCTCTCCTCACATGTGGGAGCTCATCCCCTGGCGCTCTGTCAGCACACAAAGATCTGGGAGACTGTCCAAGATCTGAATCATTCACCTTTACATGGTGAGGGGTGAATCCCATTGGAAGTAAACCAGGCTTCTCTCTTCCAGTGAATCCAGTGGCTCTGATGCATCCGTGGGGCATTTTAGCAAGACAGGGAAGCAACGGTTTATGCAAAAATAACCAGGGTTCCTAACTGTATTAAAAGACAGTTTTATGCAAGCAGTGCCAGTGCGTCCTGCAGTTTTCAGTCATCCAGAGAAGAAAGTGGTTCAAAGAGGGTGATCTCCCCATGGTACCTGATTTGCCTGAACAGGTCAGGCTTTTATAACTTCTGAGAGAGTCACAGATAATTCAGCATTTCCGACCTTGCTGCTCTGTCCCTGGGATTCCTGAGCCCTCACAAATCCAGCCCAGGGCCCGCTTGCTCCCATCCCAGCCCTGCAACACTCCCCAGTGCCCTGCGAGCCCTGGCAGAGGCACAGCAATGCTCCTGCTGCCTGAGGAGCTGAGCTCTCCCTGTGCATTCCCCACCCTCCCAGAGCACAGAGACTCCCTGCAGGGCACACTGGCAGGGTGGGAGCTACAAGGCAGCAGCTCCTCCATCGCAGGTGCCTTCTAATGAAGCCACAACTCAGCTGAAAAGGGGTTTCAGAAACTCAGTTTGGCCTGGGGAGCGAATATCCTCTCCCAGGCAAGGGCTGAGGATGCTGCTGTGGCTCTCAGCCAGCACTAACACCCATTGAGAAGTCTTCTTCAACTCGGAGGTGTGACTGATGACAACAGCAGGTCAGAAAACATCAAGTATCCAATTAGCCAAGGGACAAGCACAGGGCATTTTTTCAAGAGGAAAATCTGAATTCGCACAAATATGTCATCCTAATACTTTTCATGTTTTCCCACAGTATTTGTGCCATTTTCCTGTGAGTTTTATCTGTCTCATAGAGGTGTCATTCAAAATTTCCAAGATCAAATTAAAGTTTGCATGAGAGAAAGTCACCATGATTGTTTTCTAATCTATCAACTTCATAATATAAATATACAGAAAAATTAAATATTCCTATTTAAAACCCAAACAAATCATTGAGATACCCACATTTATTTTAATTCAATGCTTTAACTCAAAGCAACCATTCCCATGCAGATTCTCCACATACCAGCAATCCCTGCTTGTTGCCAATTGTTGTCAAAGATGCAGCCTCCTCTTTTTAACTCTCAGGTGTCTCCGTGCTCCAAAGATCTCGAGTGGAGCCCAGAGCAGGCCAGCTTTGCTCCCAGGAACCTGCCAGAGCCCTTCTTATGTGGTGCCAATCTCACAGGCAGCGTTTCCCAAAGCTGGAGGAAGCCTGAAAAGGAAGGAAACTTCCCCAAAGCGAGCCAGGCTTTTCTCAGCATCTGAGCTGCTGCACAGAGCCTTTGCCTCCCTGCAATCTGGACCTCCAAGGATCTGCTGGAGAGTCCCTGGGAAGGCTTTGTCAGGAAGGGCCCTCGGGGGGCTCCTTAAGACTTCAGGGGACTGCAGGATTTTCAGAGCAATTGGGGTTTTTCTTTTGATTTTGCATTTCTGAGAGGTTTGTGCAACCATGGCCTGCAATTATCTGCTGTAACGAGTCCCTTGAGAGCCTCAGACAGTGACAACCCTCAGTGGGGCTCATTAATGCTTCAAGGCACTCAGGGTTTATTAAGACACTTCTTTTTGACACTAAGTCTCTGAGAGGTTTGTTCAATCATGACCTTCAATTATCTGCTCTAATGATTCCCTGGAGAGTCTTTGTCAGGAATGGCCCTCAGTGGGGCTTGTTAATGCTTCAAGATACTCAAGGGTTTTTAAGGAACTTTGCCTTTTCCTTTGACTCTGACTTTTTAAGAGGTTTGTGCAATCATGGCCTCCAATTATCTGCATTAATTAGTCCCTGGAGAGTCTTTGTCAGGAATGGCCCTCAGCAGGGCTTATTAATGCTTCAAGATACTCAAGGTTTTTTAAGGAACTTTGGTTTTTCCTTTTCCAGCTGAGTCTGAGAGGTTTGTTCAGTCATGGCCTCCAGTTATCTCCTCCAACGAGTCCATGAGGAGCCTGTATTGGGAATGGCCCTCGGTGGGACCCATTAATGCTTTGAGATATTTTGGGTTCTCCTTCTGACTCTGACTAATGGAAAGGTTTGTGCAATCTCCCCTCAGTATCTGAGGTTCAAGGACTCAGCACCAAAAGCCCCACGGGGCTCATTCAGATAAAGCAAGTCCTAACAAACCACGACCCTTCCTGTGATTTTCCTCCAGTCTAGACAGTAAATTAGGAATGTTGTCTCATGGAATCAGGGGACCATTGTGACACTGCAGGGCCCCATGGAACTCTTTTGCCCGCGACGAGGGTCAGCACAAGAGACACCGACACCAACTTTAGAGAACAAGTGTGTAATTTTACTCCAGTGCAAAGCAGCAAAGAATGACAAAAGGATGAGCTCAGTAATGCACCTCATCGTTCCTACAAAGAGTGCCTGGAGTGATTAGAAAAGATCCCTGCCCAGTTGCCCTCATCTGTTCCCCTCAGCCAGGCCCACACGGCAGCGGGGGAGCCCCGGTCACAGCCAAGGGTTGGAGAACCCCTCCCGGGCACGGGAAATACTACCCAGGGTGTCCACTCGTAGGGGAGGGCTCCATCTCTGCTGGGAGGGGGTCCAGCTTTTCTGGGCTTGGATGAACAAGCTCACAGAGCTACGAGTGCACAAAACCATCTGGCTCCCTTCTCCTCCTGGGTTCCACCCAAAGCCTGGCCAGGGCTTAAGGGGAAAACCAAGGCAGTCAACCTGCCCCATCTCCTGCCAAACAAGGCCAGACATCGACTGCCATGGCCTTCACCAGTCTCTAAACACATAAAGATCATATGTTCTTAACAATCATACACATTTTGTTAATGAACAGATACAAGCAGTATTCACTAATGAGCAGATACTAATACATCTTACTAATAAGCACACACATTTTGTTGATGAGCAGATACACAGCTGTAGTGTTATCACACTACATCTTTTACTCACAAACATATATAGGTTTAGCTAATGAGTGGATACACGGATAAATAGAACACCAGGTTGGAGCTCTAGAAGTCAGCTTTGCTCAGGGCCTGTTGTTCAGCCTCAGGACTTCAGTGACAGGCAGACAGGGCTTTATGTTACACACAGTGTTTACATGCTCATTAGATATTCTCCCTTAACACAAATATGTTACTTTGCTTTACACACTCACACCTCCTATCCCAAGTCCTTATTTGGTCCTTTGGGGTCTTCTTCCGGGCTCTCTGGTGGGTTTTTTTGGCATCTGGTGCCCCCCAAAGTTGAGGTGTCCCCTTCTTGACCTCGGTTCTGAGCAGGCACAGTGACAGTGTTTTTCACTACAAAGAGTGTAACATTTCATTTTGATCTTCTCTGGGTCCACAGAGCTCAGCTGACATCCTGTTTGCTTCAGGTACACCCCTGATCAAATCCTCTAGGACTTCTTTCAGATTCTGTTGTTCCTTATTTGACCATAGTGGAATACTGTGAGCAGTGTTCTATTTCTCCTATCAAATCCCCTTTTTCCATGAGATTAATTTTATTAAGGGAATGAGTCTCTCAGTATCTATAGTTCACTTTCTAGCTTAAGGCATTGCCACAGCTACAACACTGAATCATGATGCAAGCTAAAATACAAATGGCCATTATTAGGATTGGAGCTACAAAGAGCTTCTTTAGCCACCCAAAATCAGATAACCAGGAGGTCAGGCTATTCCAGATTCCTTGAAGACCTAAAGGGGTGTCATTGTGAGCTACCTGATGTAAAATATGGCTTTGTTTCTGGATTTCCTGGACATCTGGAGACACTCTCCCACTCTGGTCACTGCACACACAGCAGCTGGAGCTATGACAGTGCACACTCCTCCTTGGGAAGCTGAAAGAAGGTCTAGGCCATTCAGTTTTGTAAAACAACCTGTGACAAGCCATTCACTTCTTCCTGGAAGGCAGGAATGGCATCTCTTGCACGACTTTCTATGGATCCTATGGAAGCAGAAGTGTTTACTATTGTTTTCTCTAATTCCCCCACTCCCAGCCTGGGTAAAAACCATCTTACAAACCTATGAAACGCAGTTGGTCACTCTGCTGGGACATTTAAGGTGTGATTTGTGTGCCCCAAAGAGCTGCTTCTCCACAATCCCGAGGGCACTTGACCTTTATCAGTTGCTGTTATGTTGGGGACTGAGGCTCCTAAAGCACAAAGGCCTTTCCAGCCTCGGGGGTAACACTTTACGGGCTTTATTTCCACATCTCCAATACCACCCTCTTCCTTTGGCTACCAACCAAGGATGATTCATTTCCCCAACAGGAAGTGTTTGTCCGTGATTTCCAAAAAACCTGCCACTTCCCTTAATACAATCCAGTTTTCCTGTTCCTTTAGGGGGTTACAGCTTTGTATACAGGTATGATTGTAAGAGATGTGGGTGGGTACTTGCACACTAATTGCTAGGTCTACATTTTGGTGAAAGGAAGTGCTTACCCAGGGACTAGGAATAATTTCTCCTGGAATTGGGAAGGAATAAATGAGTTGTGGCTTCCCTGTGTTTTATGGTAAATGACTGCACAAAACAATGGCTTTGAGGCAA